CCACACTGGCCCCCATGTGTTGGCAAGGGGAAAAAAACTTTGAAGAACAGTTAAGACTAGACTAATAACCTGAATACATTTCTATCCCTTCCTTTTTTCCATCACAGAAAATGAGTAAGAACTCATTTACCTATTCAATTAGCAAATATTAAGGAATTCCACTAAATGTCTGTGATACATTATTCCTCTAACTATAAAAAACTTTAGATTTCCACCTTATTGCTTCTTCCTGATATCAACAGGCAAAGTATGGTGGCATAAGGTCAAATTTTAAAAATGAATTTTTTATAAGAACAAGAAACTTTCTTAAAACAAGGAAGATATGTTTCCTTATTCCAAATAGATCTGGGTGACATCCAGCTAGTATCCCTGCAGCAGCAGAAAGCATGTGGCAGACAATAAAATATTTTTGCTAAATCATTTCCCACCGAAGTCTTTCACCCTGAAAAGTCCTTCTATCCTGAAAAGTCCAACCACCTACAATCTGCTTTGTCGGGCAGGAAAAAACTGCAAAATGGACTGTCTTCTTCCTGGTGTAATTTGAAAATGGTTTCTAAGAGCTTCAGGAGCATGATCGGTGATGTCTGAACATGAACACAGATGAAATTTTCAACTCTTGAAAGGTTTAATGTATCATTTTACACCTTCTATTGTAAGATAGATAGATTAGATAGATAGATAGATAGATAGATAGATAGATAGATAGATAGATAGATAGATAGATAGATAGATAGATAGATGATAGATAGATAGATAGATAGATATACTGTCCCAATGAAAGGCTATATGGCCCACCTATTCAGTCATATGGACTGAAAGGAGGTGGCAAAATGGTCCCCAAACTTCTTGTGCCCGTTTTGGAAGGATGCTGTTGTATGTCTCTTTTACCTACTTGGAACGTATTGTGGAGGAAAGATAGGATGTAGCTTTATGTAACACTGGCAAAGTAACTGCTAAGATTTCTGTTGAAAAAAATGTGAAAGGCATGCATACTGCTTTGAAAGTGCAAGTAATGAATATACTTCAATCACAGCATTCATGTATGTAGATTCATAGCATGAAGCAACATCAACAGATGCAAATAATGTCAAGATACATGTATTGTGTATATTGTGTTGCTTTGGTGCAGGAGTGTCAAACTCAGGTGATGTATCGGGACTTTTTTCCCCTTCGCTAAACCGGGGCTTGGCCAGCATGCGACACATCCAGCCCACAGGTCGGAAGTTAAGACACTTTAGTGTCTCAACTGGGACAAAGGTTTTTCCATTTTTCGATTCTGCATCTCGTACTGCAGTGTTTCTTAAATTGTTTGACTTCTGTACCCATGTTCCCATGATACTGAATATCATTAATATAGGCAACCCTACCGAAATATATGGATCTTGGCAGTGGCACCATCTCAATTTAAAAAACATTATCTTAAGGGGCTCAACTTTGTGGGCTTCTGAATTTATAGGGCTACCAGAATGTTGTATCTTTTAACTGTTTGCCAGGCATGTGTATGACATGCCCATTTGTATTTTAAGTGCTCCTTTAATTATTTAGAGCTGGTCTTGCAACAAACTTTTGCATTTCAAATTTGATCTGTGATTAAATTCTTTAGGATTTGCCTCTCTTCGTCACACACTGTATTACTTGAAGTTTCCACATTTTTAGTTTTCTCATTGAGATTTTCTTAGAGGCTTCTTTCAGGGGTGGGATTCAAATGTTTTAACAACTGGCTCTGTGGGAGTGGCTTAGTTGGTGGGCGTGGCTTGGCAGTCATGTTATTGGCTGGGCGTGGCCAACTCAATATCACTCACATCGAGGCACGCATCTCCTTGCCTGGCCTCTCATGACTGTGGGGATGCTGCAACAGTCGTAAGTGTGAAAAATGGTCATAAGTCACTTTTTTCAGTGCCATTGTAACTTTGAATGGTCACTCCACACAAGCAAAGTATCAGCAAAAGAGGGAAAGAAAACTCCAGAGAGGTTCCTGAGACAGGAAGTCTAGTCCTGCCAAGAATGTAATAAGGGTTAACGGAGAGGCGGTTTCTGTAAGTAACACCAGAATGTTTCCTTCCTGCCTTCCTTACAGGATTAGGCCAGTAATTTCTTCTAACAACCAGTTCTCCAAACTGCTTAGAATGTTAACAACCGGTTCTAGCGAATAGGTGCGAACTGGTAGAATCCCACCCCTGGCTTCTTTGGGTCATGCCCCATTTATCTGGAAAGGACAGTATTTTGTGGCAACACTTTTTCCAACTATTGCAAATGTTCTATCTGGAACCCCTTAAAAATGGACTGGAGGCTTCAATTAATATAAAACATCATGAGCAGTTATGAGTATGGATCATTGGACACATATTAAATTCACTTTGTGGGTCCCAAATTTGATTCCTATTACCTTTAGGAGCAAGTTAAAGTGATGGTTTTAACTATAAAGTCCTTTACGATTTTGGTTCACCAGCAAGACTGCATCTCTCCAGTAGAGTTGGACCATTATTTTAATCAATGTCAAGAGAAGCAGCTGACTTTAGGTCAGGAGGCCCAAAACCTGGAAATAGCTTTCTAGAATGAGCTACCATTGAGTTATCTGCTTCCAAAGTTTTGTGGCCTAAAGCTTGCACTATATTTGGGGTTTAATTATGTTTTTATTTTTATACTTGTGTATTCATACTTTTGTGAACTACTGAGATCTTGTGATTATAGCAGGATACAAATTGAGAAGAGCATGTTCAAGGACAATTGCTTTACATACTGCAGTTGCTAATGGGTAGGATGGTTGCAATCTGTCCTTTTTAAAACTTTCACCTGCATCTTTCTTCCTCTTTCTGTCTCATCCCAGTTTAAATTTTACATTAAAATAGCTATGGTGTACTTCTGATAAAATTAACAGCAGCCTACAAAAGTATATGCCTTTCCAATAAAATGTGCTATCAGATTTCTCATTTCTGGCTACCATTGAGCAATACAGCTTTCCTTCCACGTTCTCTGGAAAGAGGAACTGATATTTCTTGGCTTTGTATCAGGATAATAATGACCACTATAAATCTTGATCTGATGACACATTCATGACCATGTGAAATAGAGGAATGGGAGGACTTTATATTCTCCAATCTACTATTTGAATGGAGTTCCTAAAATTGTAGTAGAAAGTCCATGTTTACATAATTGCATGTCAAGCATTTAATATATAAAAATTGAGTTTGAGATCACTATTGGTTCTAGCCCTAAGAAGAAGAAAAATAGGATGAAATCCTACACGTGCTGAGAATGCTTGACAAGATTTAACCAAGTAAAAATTCATACTGCTAAACTAGCAGACGTCGTAACTTGAAAGCATGACTGAAGAAAGTCAATTCTATTTTGTTGAAATGTACTTTAAAAATGGATGTGTAAACACCAACCTTAGAACAAGACAAAACTGGTAGGAAAGAGTATATAGCTTTTTCAAAATCATTAGCAATAAACATGCTGATTGATAAAAATCACAAGCAACATGTATAATGAAAGAGAATGTTTCTTTCTAGTAAAGATTTAACTGCAGAAAAAATGCAGGAGTGAAATATAGTTCCTGATCTTTCCTGCTGGAGAAGAGCAATGCAGCAAAATTAGCAATTCAATAAAATTAGATTTCCTGGGGAAAAAAAGCTAGTATTTTGCTTGAAGAATTGCTAAAGCACAGTGTAAAACCAACTCAACCATGGGAAGTCACAGATGAGTAAAATAAAAGCTTCATTTTGGTGATCATCTGTAAAAATAGGAATAAGAATATTATTGGATTATACTGTTTCATTATGTAAGCATGACATTCTTTATACGCTTCTTATCTCAAAACTGACTGCACAACAGAAGCAAGCAGGTATGAAAGAAATAAATTAGTATAGGGTCAATTTCCTCCACACATCTACAACTAGATTCGAGACTTCAAACTATGTATTTGAAATGGAAAATTTTAAAATAACATGTATCACATTATTCCCTCCCCCTATGCTTTAATGGATAATCTTTAGAGAACGAAGCAACAACATTCAGCTTGCAAAATCCCAGTAGTAAATGAATATGGAAAATGAAAAATATGGAATTAGATACTGAAACAGAAAATACTGGAAATATTGTTTAAGTCTTTTTATACATCACTAAAGGCAACTTTTACAAGACAGGATGTTATTTTATCCATTTGCAGTAATTTTTTCTCCTTTGAAAAGAATGAACTCTTAGGTAAACATCTAAATAAGATGACATCTAAATAAGAAAAAATAAACTGGTACGCTGGGATAACATATTCTAGATTTAGAACATTCCCTTAATATCCTGTTCATTTCAGCTAGCAATCCCTCAGTAAGAAAATTAAAGAATACCACAAGGGAATATTAAATGTCATCTCTGCATCTGCTGCCAGCAAATGTTTACCAGAGAGTCATACATTTTTCATGCTAAGTAACCTAAAACGTTAATAAGAATTCTTGACTGCTATTCTATCCAACATGAAAACTTATACAAGATATTATCTAATTAGCCTGCCACTTGATATCATTGTCTAAACATTCATTTATTCATATTCCTTATAGTGAACTGAATTGTGCCCTTGCACCATCATAAAAACATATACAGTAACTTTTAAGCAAGAATGCAATCGAATGAATTTATTCAGAAATAAGGCTTACTAATATTTAACAAACCTTTCTCCCAAATAAGCTTGTATAAGATTGCAAAAAAGGGAAGATGGAGAAATGAAATCTGAAGGTATTCGGGGGAGAAAAACAGCCCAATATTTTTAAATTTAAATTTATCTTTTATAAATGTAAGTACTGTATAATGAATGTATTCTTCCTTAGGTAAATTTTAAAATGAGAAAGACAGAGCTCTAGAACAATCTAACTACCGGTAATACCTGAAATTAGGTGCTTATTCATCTCCAATGGACAAGTTATTTTTAAATACTGTTATTAAGAACACACCTATATATACCTAAACAATATGTATTACAAATACTCATGGTCATTTCCATTGTTTTCCATGTTTTATTAAAAAAATAAATCTTTGTCAACATGTTTATCAGCTTGCTGCACAAATGATCCTTTACCATAATATTAAGAGAGAAACATTGCATTCTTCACATCTTGAAAAGGAATACAAGCTCCAGGCCATTCTCAGGAACAGAACCAAACAAATAAAAACTAGGATAGGCCACAACCTAATAAAAACAAAAGCAAAATCTAATTTCATATAAATCCAAATATTGCAACAAATAATCTTGCACGAGAATGTGCATTTTGCTATGTAAAGTTTCTCTACAATGTGTTCAAGTAACACTAAAAAAAAAAAAAAAGTAAATTACATTTGTTGTCAACCCCTTGTTTATTCTTGTTTCTCTTTTCTATTGCTACTCGGACAAATTTTAGACATAGACTGGAAAATGTAGAATAAATGTTTGTCTTTCTTTTCTAATACCAAGAATTGATTTTACGTTAATTTGAGGGAACAAATTAACGTAATTCATTTGTTTTAATACTGATAGTGTTATGAGAGCCCTACTATTGTGCATCTATTAAAAATAATTTATGGAAAGCTTTGCCACTAAGTTACAATCCTATTATTGTTACACTGAAGTCTATAGGATTTAAACAAAGTAAATGCAGGGCAGCAGACCAAAGCGATCTATTCTTCAGAATTTTTCTTTGGCAAAGCAATCTCTGATCATGTACAAAATATGACTATTGTGTAGGTGCCACCAACATAATAATAGTAAAAATTGGGTGCAAATATAATATTTTCTACATAGAATGTTCTACTGTGAAAAGGGTGAAAAGGATTGTTTGTTGCAATGGCAATATTGCCTGTTTCATCTACAATATTTTTCATTTATTACATCAAAGGCATTCTCCTTCCCAACAAGAAGAATTTCTTTTTAACAAAGGCATTATTCAACAAATATATTTGCAAAAGTGTTTCAGTTCCCTTATGCGAGGGCAATATCTTGTATTTTTTAAAATGTAGTAGGACCTAGTTGCTTCCTTTTGGATTTTTATAAGGGTAGAAGAAGGCTATTGTTTTTTTACACAATTTAAAAATCAAATTACATCATGGAAATAATGCCAACAAGATGACTTAGAATTATTAGAGACTTCTAGTTAAGTAAGAAGCAAGCAATGACATCTAGCAATATTTTGGTTTTTCTGTGCATTACAAAAAATAGTACTCATACATTAAAAAAGGTTCAGATAGATAAAGCACACATGAATGCAACATTCAGAATTCTGGCAGAAAATTTAAGGTGGGCAATTTGCTGCTACATTTACAAAAAATACAATTTTATAATGAAAGGATTGTGAAAATACATTTAAACAACATTCAGGAACCACATAAAATAATAAAGGAGGATCTAACAGAACTACTCAAACCAACCTTTGAAACTCCATTAAACACTGCTTGAGCAACACTTGCAATCAGAAAGCAGCATTTCCCAAGTACTTGTGAAGTTACTTCTCCCAGTATCTGAAGCATTTGTTGCTGAATATTGTATTGCCTGCACTTGGATTTTAAATGCAAACCATTCACCTTAGAAACACAATGCATTTAGACACATTCTTAATTTTTTTTTTGCACATTTCTGAAGCAGAACATCTTGTAATGGCAATTGTAAATTAAAATATGAATTTGATTACCTTTCTACATAAGCATTCCCCATGCAATATAGAAGTCTTACTGGGAAATATTCAATGATAATTTTACTTAACACAGAAAAAATTAACCAATTTATCCTATAAATATTTTATTTGTTTTGTGTCTAGAATTTGCTATTAAGTTCTATAAACAGAAACACATAACAAAGGTTTCCTAAGTAGTGAAAAACATAATTAGAAAGGTTGGAAAAAGTTGGCCTAATCAACATATATACAGATTATGCTACTTAGTACATTGGGGGAACTGGATTTATGCCCTCAACAGTAAGTTTACTTACTGATAATACTAGAAGTCCATTGTTTTGGTAGACAAGTAAATTTCAGGGTGCTTTTTTCCCTTTTTTTAAAAAAAAATTTGATGTATGGCTAACAAATGACAAAAGATTCAGTTGCTGATAAATTGTTCTGTTCTTTCCTGAAAATATTTCTCTGTTAGATTACTGTCTTTCTGCCCCTTCTTTTCTTTGTTTTGTTGTTCTTGTAGATTCAGGATTATGTTTTTTATTTCTTCTCGTTTTGTTTTCATTCTTGGACGTGGAAACCAGTCTGTTAGATTCATTGGTAGTTCAAAGCTTAGAATAGGAGTCTAGGAGAAACCAAACAGATAGATTTACAATAGCACCTACATGGAATTTCTGCATAATAACATTGTACAAAGTATTACAACATTAGGAGTTAAAAATCTTGACAATGTTACATTTGAAACTTTTTCCAATCCTTCATGCACATTTATAAAGTTTCAATGATGGCGCCTTTCTGTGGATTCAGCTCTATCCATCATCAGTATTTCATAATAGTCTTACTCAACAATCAAGACTACTAAGAAGTCTTCCCACATAGCTACAGCTAAGATAATATTTTACCCTTTCTCCCTTTTATGAGCTCAATTCTAGAAAACAAACTTTTAAGACACTCCACACCCCCAAACATATTTTGCCTTCTTCAGAAGCAATAGGCAAAGCATGAAACAAATAGGGAATGAATCGAATAATGCATTTGTACAGTTCTATTATTTAAATATTACAAAATCACTATTAATAAACCAAAACTCTTTGTGTGGGCAGACATTATGTATTTATTTTATTCACAGTTTATACTGTGCTAACTATGCATATGTGTGTGTGTAATTTTAACAATTACTTGCCATTTTTAAAACAATGTAAGATATAAATTATGTAAAACAAATGAAATATTGAAACCAAATTAACCAACTTATTTTTTTTTTAAAACCCTTTTTGTTAGAACAAAAACCCTAACATAACATTTACCTCAAAAAAGCTCTCCACATACTGTAAAACATAAACTCCGCAATCACTGAAATTGTTCTGTTGTGGCACTTTGGGGTTCGAGCCTTTCATGACATCTTTAGAGAAACTTCGTCTGCTCCCTTTCCTTACTTCCCATTCCACTTCCAAATACCTGCAACACACAAATAAAACAAGCACGAGAAGACCATTTGTATTGATTATTCCAACATGAAAGATATTTTAATATTATAGAGACTAATTACTTACTCCCTTAGTGTTCTGACAACATTTGATCGGGAAGGGCCTCTTAGTGAATCCATGAGCAGAATGCATGGCCTAAAAAAGATACAGTATGTTTTCACTTCTTTGCTATACTGTCACATTAAATCATTTTGGTTACAGATATGAAGAACCCTTTTCTGTTCATATTATGAATAAAGTATGGTACTCAATTTTGTTTCATCCAAATATCACGTCTACAAAAATTGCATGGTGATCTATAATTAGATTTAGCCTTTGATTATATTCAATACTGAGTAGGAACCTTTGTTATAAAAATAGGTCCAAATAGAACAAAAATGGGTACACTTAAAGTAGCTCCGAAAAACTACACATTTTTGCAACCTGTGAGAGTTTAAAAACACTTTTTAAAAAATTTGTTCAGTGATATTTGAACATTTTTTAAAAGCTACATTTAACATTCTTCCCTATACAGCAAGAGACCTTATGACTATTTATTAAGCTCTTCACAAAGGAAAAAAAAATAGTTCAATATTACGAGTCAGTCTCTTAGCCTGTATTCTATATAATACTTCAAAATTAATGTTTAGAACAGTACTACAGACTGGGCTATGTATGTTTGAAAACAATTCTTGTGGAACTTTTGTAAGACTGAAAAAATTAAACACATGGCTGCTTAAATAAGTTGCTTGATTGAAATATGTCTAATACAATTCTTCAAGTAGGAATATCTTTATTCAGACTTACAAGGAAACCTGTAAAAAAGATACAGGTATTTTACTAAGTAGCAGAGAGATGCTGCTACTCGCTACAACCCCAATTCTGAGGCACTTCTTTAAGCCATTTTAAAAATATCCAAAGCTGTGATATGAAATAATACCGACAAAGGAATAAATTGTTTTTCCACATTATTCCAAGAGGACAGATGCAATTTTAACTTGCAAATTATAGAACCTATATAATTTCACTAAATGGAATCTGGAAAAATAAGACTTCAGAAATATTCTCTGTTCTACACCCAATTATTTTTGATCTATTCAAAACTTTAACAGCATTATTCTTCTTTTCTCAGTCAGGGAACTTCTTGGATATAAGGAGGCAATTCTAATGATAATTCAAACTTCCCATTACAAAAAAAAATTAAGACACTGATTACAACATAAAAAACATGAAAGAGAGAGCCAGTTTGATATAGTAGTTAAGGCACCAGGCTGGAAAACAGGAGACTGTGAGTTTAGTGAGTTTTAGTTTAGACACAAGGCCAGCTGGGTCACCTTAGGCAAATCATTTTCTCAGTTCTAGGAAAAAAACAATGGCAGACCTCTTCTGAAAAACCTTGCCAAGGAAACTGCAGAGACTTGTCCAAGTAGTTTTTGAGAATCAATCACAATTGAATGGAAGAAAAGAAAAGCAACATAAACAGATTTGAGGTAAAATGTTGGCATATTTAAAGAATCTTCCCCTTTTTAAAGAAAAGTTGGCATCTGATCTAATAATCCATGGACCAGTCATTCTTAGATGTCAGCCAGAGAGTAAGATACTGAACAACCATCTCTCAGAATCTACTTGGGCCAAGGTCTATCTTAAAGACATAATAGTCTCTTATTCTACTACTCTCAAGATAAACATAATTCACATCTTATCAAATAATAATTATCAATTATGTCTGTTTTCTGAATTTAGCTCAATTTGATGAAGAATGTATTTACAATGGACACAGCTAATCAAAGTTGCCAGAGAACTTAGATTATTCTTCCTCAGAAGATTACAGTTGGATCCAGGCTTCTCTACTGAAGCACAAATTTTAGTGAAGGTTTTCTGTTAAGAAAAACAGATGGAACAAATAGTTGGTCCAGTTTCCCCTTCAGACTAGTATTCCAAAAAAGACTTTGAAAGCTAACAATACAGGTAGTCCTCTACTTGCAACAGTTCATTTAGTGACCATTTGAAGTTACAATGGCACTGAAAATAGTGATTTATGACCATTTTTCACATTTGCGACCATTGCTGCATCCCCATGATCACAAAATTAAAATTCAGGTGCTTGGCAACTGACTCATACTTATGACGGTTCCAGGGCTATATGATCAACTTTTGTAACCTTCTGACAAGCAAAGTCAATGGGGGAGCCAGATTCAATTATCAACTGTAATACTAACTTGACAACTGCAGTGATTCACTTAACAAATGTCTCACTTAGCAACATACATTTTGGCCGTAAGGACTACCTGTAATACAGAAGTAAATTAGAAAGAATTTTAAAAATGATGGAGCAGTTTGGGAGCAAAAATTTTAATGGTTTTTAAGATGGCATTTCATCTTTATAGCTTATGTGAAGTGTATACAAGTTATAAATATCTTACTTTAAAACTTACTGTTTGCATATGGTCGGCTTTAGATGCCATTGTCCTAATTCTGAATTACAGTTATCATCAGCAAGACCATCATCATCGCTACTATTCTCCTAGGAAAAAAAACTATTTTAATATAATGTCCAAAATCAGAATTATGAGAAAAATAGGGATCTACTACATGATCTGGAGTACATAGGCAGAAATTCAGTTTCCTCAAACTTTATCAACAGTAGCAATTAAATGTTGAACTATTCTACCCTTCAAATATACCTTTGAGATTTAAAAAGTTTGGGGTGATCAGAAATATATGTCTTTTCCATCTGCTCTGGGAGAAGAATCTCAAGTTGCTAATACAAATAAAGTAGATTCTGCAAGCCTGGCATCTGCTTATCCTCCATTTTTCAAAAAGCTACATTGAAGCATTATTAATTAACATAAAAGTATCCCAACATATTTATCATCTTCTACCTTTTCTTAATACTATTAATAACTGTAACAATAAGTCATCAAAAATTGACCAATATTTAATTTCCATAATTAATTTCTTACCATGGAAATAATTATTTCATTACTAAAAACAGCTATTTTTAAAAAATGTTTTCGCTTTTTGATGTTTTTTTTAAAAGCCAAAAGTTCATTTAAGGTATTCAAACACTCTGCTCAAATGCCATCTCCCAATACACATAGGATTCTACCGAGCAATTTAAAGAAGTCTTTGGGGACATAACAGTTTACGCATTGAAAACTAACCCTGAAATCAGTGTTTATCAAAATGCATAGTTCTTCATATACATGATTAAACTCTAATTTAAAAATGATATCATAGTACAGTATTAATTTTACAATCTTGTAAAATCTTAAGGACACCCCAGATTCCAACAATATTTCACTCTTTTTCAGCAGTTAGAAGGCATGCATGCAACACCACAGCCACTTCTTATTTTCTCCCCAATTACAGTGGCAAAAAGCATCTGAATTTGCCTTTGGCTCATACAAATATCTATTATTTCTTTTAATTATTTGGACTTGGAGGATACCCAATTCCAAAACAATTCTGGGTGGCTTACATCTATCGTTTGGAGGTGCACATAAATATGATTATTATAAAATAATTCTTGCACTAGCTCAAAAATTGATTTCTTCCTTTCAGAAGAATGACTCTTTCTAATTAAAACACTGGATATAAGTCAACATTGCACACTTATTTCATCAGTCAGCCCATTTGGTTGTAGAAATTAACATGATCAATATAATGCAGAACAGCAGGGCCACGGATTGTCTTGAAACAATCCAACTATGAAATTGATGGTTTGACAGGTGGGGGAATCAAGGGTAAAACCAAATTTGCTGTTATCATCCAAGCATGAAACAAAATGCAGCTGCTTTGAATAGTATTATTTGGAACATCCCAATAGCTATTTCATGACTTATGACGGAGTTGCCCCTTTTCAGTCAGTTTCCATTCTAGCCAGGACAATGGTTGCTCCTAGTTAACTGCTGTTAGTTTAGATTGGTTCAGATGATGCTGGGGGAAAATTACTGGGAGGAAAAAAGATGGTTACAGCTATATGCCTCATAAAAACCAAACCAGACAAACTTTTGCTTTGGGGGAAATAGCATTCATTTGAGAAGTATTTTCTGGTGGTTTGGGATAGGGGTTGTTGTTATTTTTTTTTTTTTAGCTTTGGGTGTGAGTACATGCTGGCCATATTTGTTCTCTTGTAAACATTAAACAAATAAAAAGCTGCTGCTGTTGTTTGACAGCATGAATAACATTATTTATGCAATCAAAAAAGCAGTGGCAGACTTTTATTCGATTCTTTTGTTGCTACCAGCTACATCTATGTGCTAACAAAAGCATCAGCATAGAAAAAAAAGTTGCTTTATTGAATAAATGATCTGAAAAAGCCAAAAAGAAAACTTGATCAAGATGAAATGTTTTCCCATTGTTTCTTTTATTTTATTCTTTTATTTATTTGTTTAAAATCAAGCCCTTCATCAAATATGCAATTGATTAATAGTCAGCATGGACTACTACTACTCTTGTGAACCTAGAGTAAAAAGAATTAGGAGTAACTAGCTGCACATCCCCCTGTTTACCGAGGTCACAACTCCCAAAAGGTTTTTAATTCTGTTCTGAAGAAAATAGAAAACAGAGGCTACTACAGATTTTTTTTCACTATAATACTGTTAACTCAAAATATTTTCTCAAATTATTAGGCCCCAAACTGAAATCAAAAACATTTTTTTTTATTTTGTGCACATCCTTAAAACATAACCTAATTCTAAAAACCTGTACGTAATGAAGAGTATTAGATAAGATCACATAGAAAAACAACCAGGGTATATCTAGTTGCAGAGATCATATTTAAGCTTTTTTTTTTTTTTTTGCAAACTGACAAAAACTGATGATCTGGGTGACTTTAAAAACACAATTTCCAGCCTACAAATATAATTATAGGTGGATCTGGCCTTCTGCTTTCATTTGTGTAAGGTGGTAGCTGGGTTTTATTTTTACTGCATTGATTTTTTTAAAAAAGATCTGACGTTTCAAACTACAAGGACTTGAAATTTCATTATCTAACTAGCTATTATTGAATTTCATTTTAAAAAGTACATGATTTAAAAAACTGAAAGTCAAACAATTATGACTTTCTATCCAGGATACTGAAGCACTTTTTGATTTCAATTCTGAGTTTCCAAAATAAACTCTGATATTTAAAACAATTAATATTGAAACAAAATTTGATTTCTTAACCACTTTAAATTAAAAGGGTCAAAGCAGACAGTAGTATAATACATTTTGATTTGTAGACTTTGGCAATGCAGAATGAAACTTTGTATAATTACTGAAACATTTTTTATAAGCAAACTAAGCTGTGAGAAAGACAACTGAGAAAATGAATTCAAAGTTCTAACAACTCAATTTCTTTTCCAAATATTTAATTTAAGCATACAACACCAGACTACAGCTAAATCCAAAAAGCCTTTGGGCTATTACTGCCACTATCTTGTACATTATTATAATTAATCTTGCAGATAAAACTGAGCAGCTGAGATATCTATTAACACATAACATTGCAGTAAGACATCATTACATAACTATGGGGGGGGCGGGGAATGTAAATTCAAATAATTTTTAAAAGGTGGTTAATTTTGCAGAAATTCTCTGGTTAGCCATATGGTTAAAAAACCGTAAATGGTGAATACAGTTTAGCCAAAGGTAACATCTACTTTCTGGCTGCGTTTGGGAAATATATGCAAAAATGACTGCTACATTTACTGAAAAGATACCAAGCCAAAGGAATCTGAGATACTCGCTGTCTTTTTGAAGATTGAGGCCATATTGCCTTTACTTCATCACTTCTTTGCTGTATAGGATATGCCTAAACCTGTATTGTGGAGGCTTCTTCAAAGAATAAGAAGCAGAAATTTCCTTTTCTTTGTATCTTTGTAAAAACTGATATGAACAAGGCAGCTGCTACCCAAGAGTAATAGTCAATAGCCTACATGAATGAAAAGAAAATCACACCTAGCAAACTTGAAGAAATGTAATAAAATAAAACTTTACAAGTAACCCTAACTTCCTCTTGATAGCAATAACTGTGTAGTCTGTCTTTATGGAAATACACTAATGAAACATGGATTCCCACTTTTTGTGATCAGAAAAATGGGTAAAGCTTGCCTTCTAGTGGATAGTACTGGGAAAAGGATTATGAAAGTGCCATCCAGAAACGAAATTAGAGAAGACTGCAATATTTTTAATGAACACATAGCCGAGATAGAGTAAAAAATTCTAAGCCTGCTTGCATGTGCTTGTGTGTGCACACACACACAAAACCCTTACATTTCCACCAATGAACTGTATAAAACAAAATGCGACACAATATCAATTGTTATCTTGCTACTTATTTCAAAACAGTGATCAAAGCACCTGTTTGCTAATTTAGAGCTTAGATACAGATAATCAGAGTTGGAACGGACCTTGTAGGTCATCTAGCCCAAGCGGGAGACCCTACACCATTTCTGACAAATGGCAGTCCAATCTCTTCTTGAAAGTCTCAACTGATGGCGTTCCCACAACTTCCGAGGGCAAGCTGTTCCATTGGTTGATTGTTCTGTCAGAAAGTTTCTCCTTATTTCCAGGTTAAATATCTCCGTGTTCAGTCTCCATCCATTATTCCTTGTCTGGCCTATAGAAGCTTTAGAAAATAGCTTGACCCCTTCCTCTCTGTGGCATCCCCTCAAATACTGGAAGACTGCTATCATGTCTCCCCTGGTCCTTCTCTTTACTAGACTAGCCAAGCCCAGTTCCTGCAATTGTTCCTTGTATGTTTTAGTCTCCAGTCCCCTAATGATCCTGGTTGCTCTTCTCTGTACTATTTCTAGAGTCTCAACATCTTTTTTATAATGTGATGACCAAAACTGGATGCAGTACTCTAGGTGTGGTCTTACTAAGGCTTTATAGAGTGGTATTAGTACTTCCCTTGATCTTGACTGTATCCCTCTGTTAATACAACTTAGGATTGCATTAGCTTTTCTGGCGGCGGCTGCTGCACACTGCTGGCCCATATTTAGCTGATTGTCCACTAAGACTCCAAGATCCCTCTCACAGTTACTGCTATTGAGTCTGGTTTCACCCAGTCTATATATGTACTTTTGGTTTTTCTTGCCTAAGTGTAGGACTTTACTTTTCTCTACATTGAATTTCATTTTATTAGATATGGCTCAGTGTTCTAATCTGTCAAGGTCCATCTGGATCTTGAGCCTATCTTCTTGGGTGTTAGCTATTCCTGCCAGCTTAGTATCATCTGCAACTTTGGTAAGTTCTCCTTCTTATTCCCTCATCTAAGTCGTTAATAAAGATATTGAAGAGTACTGGGCCTAAGACGGAACCTTGTGGCACCCCACTGCTTACTTCCCTCCATGTAGACTTAGACCCATTGAGGACTACTCGTTGAGTACGGTTTGCCAGCCAGTTGCAAATCCATCTAGTGGTGGTGCTATCTATTCCACTTTTTTCAAGCTTACTAAGAAGTAGGTTGTGGTCTACTTTATCGAATGCCTTGCTGACTTTATCGAATGCCTTGCTGGCATTGTTTTACCATGGTTTATTACAGATAGCCCTTGACTTATTAGCACAATTGGGACTGATACTTCAGTCACTAAGTGATGGGGCTGCCAAGTAAGTCGTGTCCGATTTCATGACTTTTGTGCATGGTCATGAAGTGAATCAAATGGTCATTAAGCAAATCTGGCTTCCCTATTGAGTTTACTTGTTGGAAGTCCGCTAGGAAGGTTGCAAATGGGACACTGCAGCACACGTCAGTTACCAAGTGCCCAAATTTTGATCATGTGACCATGGGAAGCTGCAATAGTTTTAATTGCAAGGTCCCTTCATACGTCACTTTTTTCAGCACCATCATAACTTTGAACAGTCCTAAAACAAATGATCCAACACTGAGGACCACCTGTACTGCCTTCTTTTGAGATTTCATACAAGACTCATCGGTGTACCCCCACCACCACCCTTAAACTTGATATACTGCAACTTACTAGTAACAAAATACATTAAATACATTATGTTGATAAGACAATTTTATTGTAGTTTTTAAAAAGATGATCAGCCTACTTTACATTCAAATCTCTTTGTCTAATGTCTCTCTTTCTGGTCTCAGTCTCAGTCTTGGTCTCTCTCTCTCCATCCCTCCCTCCCATTATTGTATGTGTGTCTCTGTCAGACCAAAGTTTAAATCCTAAGCTTTCTCCTGCCTTTTCAAAACAATGGATTCTTAATAATTTCTTCCATCTTTGTACACTAACATGTGTTCTATATGTACACAACTGTTCCATGTAAACTTGGTTCCTGACTTCAATGCATAATGTTTTCCAGTGACAAATTTAGGCAAAAAATTATGTACAGCTATCTAATATGGCTATATTCAACACAGTAACTCCAAAACAAACAAACCATCTTATGGCTTAGTAACATAATTGAACCCAGCCAATTACTGCTTTTTAACCCAGCCAATTACTATTGTTTAACGTCCTGGTGTACATCTCTCAAATTCACAACTGAAATCATCTCAACCCAAATTATCCCATAACAAACAATATTTTAAAATAATCATAATAATCATAATCATTTTAACAATTTGTTCAAAGAATGATTACTACACTCATTCTACTTGTTTTCACTATTTTTAAAACATTGTTGGAAAAGTTTTTTCTGTGTACAAAATATAGTTACCTAACCATGTTGTTTTAGATGTTTTACCTGGTTATCTTGGTCTTCTGAAAAATCTATGAGCTCATCTTCATTTAGTTTATTGCTGTCAGCAGATTTTTCGCTATAGTTTAGCCTGATTTTCTGTAAACCATCTGTATTAACCATGAAGATTAACAAACAATATAAAGAAAAGAACATAAAGAAATGTTATATTAACTAGGCCAAAAAGGCTAAATCTCCAAAGGAATAGTACTTATTTTAGCATAAATCATTGTTCTTAAAAAGGATTTAGTTTTGTTTTGACAAATTTAAACTTCCTCATTAACCATTACCATCAGCAACCTTACCCATAACTATTGGGAACCTGGATTCTTGCAATTTATGGCAATTAACACCCATGTAAGTGGCTAGCAGGCTGCAGCTTCAATTATAAATTCCATCCTTAATGTTCCATATTTCAAGAAAACAAATTCTCAAAAAAGAGGTATTATTATCACTACTAACTACAGTACATTAAATGGTGAAAACGGCACAGAATAATAGTTCAATACGTGAAAGATCACAGCAGCAGCCTGTCTTCTTGTGAAAAGAATTCTGATTATTTACTGTGAGAAAATTTTCCACATTTTCCATATGAACAAGTATACCTTTTAATTGACGTCTGGAATTTCAGGAATGGTTTGACTGTTTATAACTCTTATTACCTATAATGTGAAAACTGGAAAACCCTTGGCCTACACAAGCCCTACTTGTATCTAGAAGCCTCCACGTCACACTAGACACACCCAAGCCCCAAAGAGGATATATCAAGATCATGATCATATATTGATGAAGACTAATCAGCTTTTACTTTTCTTCCATATGTTGCCATATATTTTATTATACATTGCAATGAAACAGACTAACAAATTAAGGTTCCATACAAGTTTGGCAGTAAGCAAGTTGGTCAAGATTTTAGACTCTCTCTCTTCCTGATGCATTAAGAAAACTGATTATCTCTCAAAATAAATCCTAATAAAACCCTCTATGCATAGTCATCTGCAAGGCTATTTTGTGAACTTTTATTGATTTATACAATTCTGGACAGACTCTGGACAGAAGTCATACATGATGCAATGACTTCCTGGCTCTTAGAAAGCAGGTTTATTCCCTATGGCCAAGGTAACAGAACTGGCGAAGTTGGGAAAGATGGGAGAGATTGGTGACAAAAGTCACTGGGAAGGACAGTACTATCCCATCCCACAAAATATTTCAGTAATCATAAAGCACATGGCTCTTGAGACAGAAAGATGACATTCCAAGGAAGCCTGAACCAACTGGAAACATCGATGCAAGTAGACAATTTACCTAAAAAACAGCAGTAACTTTTACTGCAAAAAACTAAGGTTTAAAAAAGTCACATGTCATATGGGTGGTCATACATACTTTTTTAAAAAATAGATCAAAGCAAATGTAAAAAAGGCCAATTCTTTTTTGCAATCACTGGACGTTATTCAAAACTCTTAAAGAGAAACTAAGGTAAAATACAGACCTCAAATTAAGAATAGACCCTAACACATCTTGGATATTAATATCCTTACTATCCTTATCTTCCATATTTGTTTAATCTTGCTTAAATAAGTTACTATCTGTTCAGATCAGAAAAATATCACCAAGTCTAGAATAATGCTACAATAGGATGAGCAATTCAGAGATCTTTTAAAAGACTTTCTTAAAAAAAAAAACAGAAAATGTTGCTAAAATGAGGAAAGCCAAATAATATGCAAAGAACTGATAAAGGATGCAAAATACACAAAACAAAACCCTTGTACATGACAAATGAAATTAAGGCAACAATGAAAAGTTGAAATGCATTTGGAAACGGAAATTGAACATGGAGGCCACTGGATGTCAAAAAGTGCTAAAGATATACTAAAGGAAGAAAGGGAAATAGTAAGAAAATTTATTTTCTTGTTACTAAGGACACAGAACAGATTTTTCAGGAGAAAGATTAGATGAAAGGGGTATTAGAGTTCCTGGGAACAATTCAGTGGAAATATCCATCCAATGTGCTACAATAAAAATGGTAAACTGAATACTTAAAATTATTAGAAGGAAAATGAAAACAAAACTGTTGATATAGTGATCTTATACAAATCTATTGTGAGATTGCACTTGGAGCAGTCTTTGAAGCTTAAGAAAGATATTTCACAGCTAGAAAATATGCAACAAGGCAATCAAGAAATTTAGGCAGTTAGAACAGCTCTGTTGTGAAAAAAGATTGCAGCAATGGAGTCTTATTTAGCCTGGAACAAAAAAGGATTGAAGATAGTTGATAATCATATAAAAGTATGCATAACATAGGTAACACAGAAAGAAACTTTTGTCTCTCCGCAATACTGGAACTTGAGATCACCCACTGAAGTTAAATGCAAGTAAATTTGGAACCAACAGAAGAACAGATGTTTATATACAGCCCATAGTGAAACTTACAGGATTTACTGCTAACAGTTGAAATACTATTATGCACTATGGATGCTTTTAAAAGCAAATCAATTCATTGAAAATCAGATGATAAGTGGCTGGTAATGCTGACAACTATTTGCTGCTTCTTAGATCATAATCAGCATTTCTTAAATACTAGTTGATGGGGAGCAACAGTCCTTAAACTTAAGGTGCATCCAGCTGGCCACTTTGTGAAATTGAATATGGACTAAATATTTACTCTAATTCACAACTGGTTTTCTAGGCATTGTCAGGTGGAAGTCCTCTCAATCGTGCTATCTCAGAAGCTTTGGATCTTCTGTACCTAGAATCCAACATGAGGTTGACCTGAACATTGCTTATAAAGGTAACCTAAAATAATTTTAAATATATAAATCTACCTGTAGGAAAACAAACTATTTTGATAATTTCTGACTTAAGCACACTTCAACATTATAGAGGTTGAAACAGTTGAGCATGTCCTTTTATATTGCCCTATGTATAACACAGACAGATCTAAGTTACTGTCTCTCCTTGAAACAGACCCTTTTAGACCCAATGTTAGTAATTTGTTCGTATACAGTCTAGGGGATGGCTCCTCATATATATCACTTCTCAGGTTTCCATTTTTTTTTAAGAGCTGTAACCATCAGAGGAGAACGCTGTAATTCCCCTTAGTCAAGTGGTGACCAATTGTTCATGATTAATTTTCCCATGTTTTTCTTTTGTTGTACTTGTGTTTTGGTCTGTGACCGCAAATAAAGTATTATTATTATAGTGGTTTGTTCATGAAATGCCATTATATGTACATCCCCATGTGCCTAATCTATAATCTAAATATTATGCTCTAAATCAGTGGTCTCCAACCAGTGGGCTGTGGCCTACTGGTGTGCCGTGAGAAAATTTTGGTGGGCCGCAGAGAAACCTCACCCCCAGAGCACACACACCCAAAGCAATTAATCCAGGCTGCGCAGAAACACAAGGTTGCACCACCCACATGGCCCGCAGGAACCCTCCCTGCCCACTCCTTACCCAGCACACTTGCCTGCTAAATTGCTATTTTTCCTTTTTCCGACCATCAGGTGTTCTGCTGTGCTGGGAGATTTAGATTAGCTAGGAAGCAGAAAATGGTTGGATTTGTTGCTTTCTAGCTAGCTTTAGATCTTGGGCTCTGCTTTTAAGCACATCTGAACCTCCCTTAGGACTGAAGGTTCTATTATTCAGTGCAGACTCAAGGCAAGTAAATTTGAGATTGAGCTAGCCAATGGCAGATAGATCACTGAATGATTCTGTGAGCAACTCAATCTGCCTGCCTGCTTTGCCTGCTTTTGGGTAAAAGTTGCTCTTTTTTAATAAAAAATTAAATATTTATATAAATATTTATAATATTCACATACAAGCCATGCCCAGCCAATCACATGACCACCAAGCCACACCCACAAATTAGGCCACGCCCACAGAACCAGTTAGCACTCCCTGGGATTTAAAATTACGAGTTTGGTGGTTCCTGAGGTCCAAAAGGTCGGCGACCCCTGCTCTAAATTACAGTTGATCAATCTGTTCCTAAAGTACAACATTTTTGTACTTTTTAAAATTCCTGCTACTAAAACAAAATTGAATAGGCAAGACTACATACCACTAGCTTGGATATGAATTTTATGTTCATTTTGCATTCCATTTGCCTCTGAAGTTTTAAGATCATGTTTAGGACATATGGGTTCCATAGTCCTGAATTCTTCTACAGTGCTGTTCAAATGATTTAATTTTTTAAAGCCACTTTTCTCAAAAGAGTTTCTTTTGCAGTATAATGGTTCATTCTCCTCCGAATCTGTGTTTGTGTCCGTTAATTCTGCAAAATGTTTCTTGCAGAACAATTTCCTTGTTAGAGGAGACTGCTGTAATGGATCCATTTCAGCGCATACAGGAGATGAAGCACTTCTATCTTGATTTAAAGAGGAAGATTTAATCTGTGTAGATACATTTTCTTGGTAATACGGATTAGCCTCATATATTGGTTTTTCTAAACCTGGAAAACAGATGACAGCCAGGAACCAGTGGGCACTGCAAGTGAAAAAGAACAACAAAGGAATTTAAAAGTTATCTTCATAATATGTTCTAACAGTATCCAATACATTTTCACAATGCTACCCTATCTCTTCTTCCTGATATGATACATTTCAACACAACATCAAACAAAAAACCACATGTTCATCTGTCTTGCTCTAACTTTAGAACTAAAATGGGAGGCCAGCAAATAAGGCCTGCCTATTCAGATATATTTTGTTCTCTAATCATGAATCAGTCCCCGAGAATAGAATTAGAGCATGTATCTCCTTTAATGTCTTCCTATTAAGAACTGGAAGAGAAAGGAATATGGTTTACTTCTTGCTACAAAGGTGTTTAGAACAGCTGTCAGGTATATTGAGGCATGTCACTGTACCTCATTCTACCGCCCCCCTCAAATTTGAAATGGAAAAGAGCAGGAAAAATTTATTTTTCCCCCTGTACACAGTGGGATGCTGCATCACAAGTTCCTCAAGGGCAATCAACACTATTGTTGCTTTTAGAGATTATCTGCGAGACATAACAATCAGTGTGTGTATTAAAAATTCCCTTTTTGTATGTGAAAGAAGAGGCGGGGAAGCCTGTGAATGCTTAGAGCAAAGGGTAGCAAACCAAAAGGCAAAGTATCAAAAGAGCTAGAGCTTTTGAGGATCTTTCCATCATAGGTCCCAGTGGCATATACACCATATTACATCAGAATGTGTATGTTTGGTTCTGAACACAACTGTGTTTTGTAAACCATGTTTTATAATTTACCTTACACACCCATTATATAAATTAATCTTAAGTATGTTTTTAGTTATTTTCATATATTATGCTCAATATATAATTACTATTAAAAGAAATAATATGAAATGTGTGGATTCTACCAATATAAACGAAATTCTGATGCTCTACATATTACTCTACTTACGCTTCATTAAGAGGAACAAAAATAAAATCTTTTTCAAAGATATCAACGTGTCGTGTCCATGTTTTTACTCGACCGTGCCGTTTCTGCTGAATTCTGTGAACAAATGAACAGGAAATGAAGTGTGTTTATAATTTTTCAGAAGATATTTCAGGAATTAAGTATGATTTTTCTATCTCTGATGATAATTTATTAATTACTATATTTTAATAGTATCCATACTTCAAAAAGAGTATGGATACTATATACTTCAAAAAGTATATTTAGATATGAAAGTTGGAAATAATTTGTCAAAGTATGCATGGTAGCTATAGCATATGATTGGTATCCTTCATTTATCGATAGCTATGTTCATTTCTATATTACTCAATTTATATTAAATAAATCATCAGATGCTGTATAATGATCTGTTACAATCTAGTTTAGCATTTTATATATAAACCTCAAGAACCTGAAGTCCTTCAGTTTCTCCCAGCTCAACCAAGACTTGCATTTGATTGATTGATTCAATATTCCATCTTCCATATAGGAACTCATTTAAGCACGTTTTCTAACCTACCGTAGAATCCCTAGTAGTTATTGGATCCCAACATCAAATCAAAAACATACTGAATTGCATGAATTGGTTTTACATAAATAATTACAGGTAGTCTTCGACTTACAACAGTTTGTTTAGTGATTGAAGTTACAACGGCACTGAAAAATGTGACTCATGACTATTTTTCACACTTATAACCATTTTAGCAATCCCATGATCATATGATCAAAATTCAGATGCTTGGCAACTGGTTCATATTTATGATGGTTGCAGTATCCCAGGAGGTCATGTGATCACTTTTTGCGACCTTCTGACAAGCAAAGGCAATGGGGAAGCCAGATTCAATTACTAAGCCTGTTACTAACAATTGCAGTGATTCACTTAACTGTGGCAAGAAAGGCTGTAAAATGGGGCAAAAGTCATTTAACAAACATCTCATTTAACAGAAATTTTGGGCTCAATTGTGGTCATAAGTCGCGGACTACCTGGTTTTCTGTTAGACAAAGTTTGTCTAACTGAAATTTTACAAATATCTTTCAGCTAGACTTACGTGAGCTTTGAAGTTTCTTGAAGGTTCCTTCTCTCTCTTTGATTAAGGCGTTTGTAAAAAAAGGAACTGAACACATGAATCCTATCTGCATCTTCTTTTTTTAACCTTTCTAGCACCAGATACCTTTATTTTGAAACAGGGAATACACAACATATTTGGCACAAAGTTAAAAACTAATACCACAAACTGCAATTTGCTTTAAATGTTTTTAAAAGTAATAGTTCAAATCTGTTATTTGAACAATCTGAACTATTTTGCCTCTGCGTTCCAACCAGACCATGGCCTCTGAAGTGGTAACATTACTGAATCCAAATACAGTGAAACTTTGAAAGAAGTTTCAGAACATATTTCCAATATTAGTTTAATAAATCTCAAACATGATTTGCTTCTTGAATTATTATTCAGCCACAATAATATCATGATACATTGGGTGGGGGGATATTTAAAATAATGTTTTTTCAAGGGAACAAACCCAAATCCTTGTCTTTACACTAACAATGCCGAAAAAGCTTAATATATCAACTGTGGTAAGAGACAAACGGAGAGCTAATATTTTGCTTTTTCAGAGTATGGGAAAGTAATCATTCGAAACACTGTGCATAAATTATAAAATCACTAATCAAAAGATATGCAAAAAAGTTAAAACTTCGTTTTAGGACTAATGAGAGGCTTCTGACATGGCCGGATCACCGTATTTCATTTTTAAATACCCATTCTCACCTATTTGTTTATTCATTTAATATTGTGCCAGATAAAGAGTTATGGAGAACTCAAAACCTTAAACCCTCTTCTGTGTGATTTTGATTAGTTCTAACAAGGGTTTTACTTAGCTGAGAATGTTGGATTTTAATATTTAAGGGGTTTCTCAATATATTTATCTACATGAAATGGACACTATATAACTTACTTTAGATAAAAATCAATTATTACGTCATTTAAAAATTCTCCTTCATTTAAACAATGAAGATCTTCATTGGTCACAGATATACCCCCTTTTGCTGGAGGAGGCGGATAAACTATCAACCTGCAAAAAAACAAATATCAAGTAAGCTGAAGTCATATAATGTTAAGAAATTACAAAAAGTAGAACTAACTCTTACTTTTCTATAGGACCAATGAAGACAGTATGTGGCTCTACACTTTCATCATCCTCAAAGAACTGGAACTGTGTTGCATTTTGTATCTGCATTTTAGAATCAGAGACAACCTTAAGAAAATTAACAAACAATTGTCATAACTTATTTAAAACCTTGCTGACAAAGAAACAATATTACACATCTTTTATTTTTCTTAATGAATTATTGAAATACAATAAAATAAATTATAACAACAGTGGATCATTTGGATATCACTTCAGACTCTATTCCCAGCTTCATTTTCAGCTTTATGTACTATTGTTTATAAAGCATGTGCTCCTCACTCCCTTACTCACTTCACTCACTCTCCAAATCTACCTAACAATCCTAATCTGTTTAAAACAGTTCTCTAT